GTTTAGTGTTTATATCGAATGGTCTTTGTTGAATAATGTAAAGGCCAGTAGAGGTCAGTCTTCAAATCCAAGAGATCACCAGTTTTGTCAAATCACTCAAGAGCAGTTTGGCAAAACACATGGAGGGGGAGGGTGGCCAAAGAGTGCACCATAACCACAACAGACAATGTCAAATAAACTTCAGCGTCTCACATGAATGTACAATGGCGGAGTGTTTCTTTAAAGGGCTCTTATCACTTCTAAGAAATAGTACCTTTACTTGTTAATCCAGATCAGAACATCAATAAATGCACAGGCATTTATTGGTCATCAATAAACACACATTGGCATGTTGCAATAAATCATCAATGAACACACTATGGTACAGTCCAGTCCAATAATTGTTTCAATTATTGTAAATTCTGCCACCATCTACATATTGTTCCTGTGTCACTGTGTAATTGTCTCAATTATTGTAAATTCCCCCCCCCCCTTCATAATATTTTAAATCGCTGAGGAATTATTTGGCGCTATATAACTACCAATGATAATAATAACTTGCTCTATCTTCCTGCTTTTATTCATAGCAATCATTACTGTGGGATCGCCTGGCACCCAGACCGGGTACCTCCACCAATCGATGCTTCCTTAGTGCTTACCGAGTACCACAAGCACCGCACAAGACACCATCAGCACCGCAGTCCCCACTTCCAGCGTTACAGCTTGGTTGGGGTCTCCCTGTCCTCCAGCCATCCTGGACCCAAGCCCAGGATCCAGCTTCCAGTGGGTAGACCTCTCCTCCAAGCGAGTGATTATAATCCCAGGGGAGTATAGTGATACAGCAATCCCCAGGGTAGATACAGCCGTTTCCCCCACACATGAGATGAGACTCTATGTTGAGGATAAGCAGGAACTCCTTTATTGGCAGCCACAACTGGCCTTATTTGCAGGTCTCCATGCAAGGAGCACTGCCCTCTGGACCTGAGAGTAGACTACAATAAAAACAACCACACAATGACATTGGCTCTCAGGTCCAGGACACTCCCATACACAAATAAAATAATCCCTCCTCTGTGCCTGGAAGATAATTGGATCAGGAACTGTACTAATCTAATCCAATTATTTCCAAGCACAGAAAAACATACTTTTTAACAGTACCCCGAAAGTACCCGCAAAACCCATGGAAACCCCACAAAAGTTACATCCCCTGATAGCTCCGATCCGGGTGACCAACATATCCAAAAATCACCCATATCGGTTTAGGGATTTCCTGGAAGTCATAGGTTTGACCGCACGCATGCTAATGGTCGGTCAAGTTCGGCAATCTTTTACAGGTTTCTCTGCAAGGCTCATAGTCTGTGGGCAGGAGGCTGGCAAGCAAGCTCCTCACGTGGGAAGGGGAGTTTGTCACAACTACATTTTGCATTTGTCTCTTAATGTCATCATGTAATCTGTTTGTTGTATTACTTTTTGTTCCAGTGAATAAAATGTGGCACACTCCAGACAGGTGTTAAATCTACAGATGAACCCTGTAAGTGCAAAGAAAGAAACTTCGTTTTTATTCTTCCCAGTCTCGCGAAAAATGTATTGCCAAAATGCCTTTTCTCTTAAATGGTGAGGCTTTTCAAAGCCCAGGACAATAAGTGGTCAGCAACAAGTAACTAAGGAAGCCCAGAAAGGCCATGCATTGTTAAAAAAAAAAAACTGTGACTTGTTTTCTTGCTTTCCCGAGAAAACAAGTCGTAAAAATATTTAAAAAAATACTTGGCCTCTCTGGGCTTCCATATGTAATTAGTTTAGCTCAGTTTAGAATTTAAAACTGTTTACCATATAATAAAAAAATAATGTTTTAAAGCAATGGAAGCTTACACAATACAAAAGGTTTGGTAAAACACATTGATGGACAGGTAGACAATTTAAAAGCCTTCATCGTGATACTCGGGTGGAAACAATGTTCAGTTCAGTTTGCATGGGTGTTTAAATGGCCACAGCACTTCGATACCACTCTAAGGGAAAAGTGTTGCGACTATGTTGCAGTCAAAGAGATGCAGCCAAGATACAGTTAAACAGCTGTGAGGAGAGCCAACTGTATGAAAGTATAGATTTCAAAAATACTTATTTTGTCTCCCTCTTCTGGTCATTAGCAAGCTTAGCAAGCCCTGGCTAGATACCAAATACTGAATCATACTGTGGTAAACTAGGTCCTCGACGGGTGTGACCCACAATCAGGCGATGCAGTGTTGGCATTCAAGATGAGTAAACTGGATTGTGTCTTTGCTGTTAGCCTCAGCCATTACATTTTTTTCTTCTTTTCTACAATCAATGACTGCTTCTAAAACATCCTCTTTGCAAAAAAAAAACAACAAACTAACCACCAGCTCAAAATAAAGAGCTTTCTTGGCATCAGGCTGGTTATATCAAGACTCGTATACCTTGAGATCTACTAACAGGGTTATTTACCAAAGTGGTGCTAAGTCAGAAATTCAAAGCGAATACAAACTGATTATAAATGTCCAGGTCTGAAAAGACATGTGACTTGTGGATTTATTTCCGTTTCAGCTACTGCAATCTAAATTCTGAAATTTGATTTGAATTCCTAACAGTTTCCATTTTACTGAATAGACCGTCAGCAGGGATGTTGCTTATGTTCTGCCGGGCCTTTGTGATGAACCTTCCCTCAAGGTCATGTGCAAGGCCATTCCCCAATGCCACAACTTTATCTCTGCAATTCCTCTATCTTGTACTTTAAAAGGGACACTCCACTGCCTGCCTCCCAAAAAAATGTAATTATGTATTTTTTTCACTTAGTGATACATCTAACAACAGCTTGCAAAAGCTGCAGATGTCTTGTCTGAAGCATTTATTAGCCCTCCCCTTCTAACCCCGCACAGACTTTCTGTGACTGTCCAATCACAGACTTCCCAGTACTGCTCAATGAGAAGTCTTAGCAAGGCAGGTGCTCTGGGCAATTGCTCGAGTTTAGCTCCACTGACTAACCAAACCATAAAGTAACAGGACCGGTTGTCTGATTGACAGCCAGAGGGGGTGTAACATGGTTACTTTATAAAAGTGACAATGTCTATTGAATTCTGTACATTTGTAAAAAATAAAAGAGGACACACTCTTCACATATAATTCAATTCTGCACACTTAAGTGCTTTAAGTGTTTAGAGAATTCCTTTAATCCTGAATCCCTCAGGCCATGCTAACAGTGTATAGGAGAGCAGGTGCAGCACTATTCCCCATGACCCACTACTGTCACCTGGGGGAGGACTCATATTGCATAATAGCTTGGCAATGTTTAAACACTTGCGCTGTTTCATTTTACACAGAGCAACTGCCTTGATCGGCAGACATAAAATATAAATAGATGAAATCACCAATATCCTGCCACT